AGGAGGGAAGCGACCACATTCAGAGTGGTTGACTATGGTGTTTTCTTTATTTTATTAAATTAAATGAAAAATAAATTAGAGAATACGACGTGATCGAGATCATGTACATTAAGTATGTGAATTAGTCACTCTTCCAAAATAAGAAAGATATAGATATATCAAGATCGAACTGATATCATTTGTTTTTCGATTTCCAACTGAAGATTTAATTCGTTACAGGAGGCATCATAAAGACATGATTCTGACTATGAACTTTGTTTTTTTCACATTTCGAGATAATTAAAATACAAATAACATGAAAAGTTAGCCGTAAATTTTTATGAATAAACCACTTTATTTGTAATAGAAGTTTTATATTTATATATCATACTATACGGCTACTAGTGTTAATTAAATCTTACTATAAAATTAATTTATTTTTGATGGTGAAATTGTTTTAATGAGTGTTATTGAATTTACAAGAAATAAAAACAGTGATTTTTCAGTTTTACGTACATTTAGATTGTTATGTTTCATATAACAAATTCTTTAAGGCAAGGTTTGTTAAACAAAAATAAAGATTAAATAGAGGAGTAGTAACGAACAGAACATTTTAAATCTGATCGATCGAAAATGCGAATGTCTATTTATAACAATCTCACGTTTTCTTCATCTTCTCTGTGCACCTATTTTGAAACTTAATTTCAACTTTTCCGTCTAAATACAACTAATTTTAGGCACTATTACAGATCAATAAAAGGATATAAAATTTATAGTAATAGCAGTTCTGTTACAAAATGCCTTTTATAAACTCAAATGTACATACTTTTGAGAAAAAAGTATCTTATTGATAAGTTCAAAAGATTTTCAGTTCTTCTAAAACGTATTAGCAGAAGATAATTTACATAAATTAGATGCAACAACAAAAGAAATATTTTTATTAAACAAATACAAAACTGATAGGTATTTGTCACTCAATATAATTATGAATAATATCCTCAGGAATGACGTCGTTTTATAATAGTCGAATATATATATCTTTGATAAAAGAGATTTTTTTTGTTGCTTTATTTGACTTCAATTATTTCTTGATGAGAAAAGATAGTTTATTTTTAACGGTTTTTATAGAACAATATAATAAATAAGATATATCAATTAAAATAAGTTTATCATATAAAGCCATATTATTCATTTGAAAAAAATCTTACTGTTATTCGAATTTGTTATTACTTCATCGCAAACATAGAAAGGTATTGCTGAACATTATTTCTATAATAAATTGATCAGCTTGTGTTAATCGATATTTACTATTTCATTTTATTATTATTTTCACTCATCGAGTGATGACTGTTCACACTTTGAAAATCTAATCTTTCATTTCTTCTGATTATTTTCGCACTGATAGTTATTTATTTTAATTATCAAGAAATTCTATATATGTAATCTAACTCTATTTTTTTTTCTTCTTTGTTCAACATTTTAATAATCTTCCATAGATATTTCATAGATCGTTTTGTTCCTTTGAATCATTTAACTAAAGTATAATTAATTTACCTAGTGAGTGCATCGTAAAAAATATCATATAGATTTCGAGATCATGAAAAGATGAAATCTTCTTATTAAATTTGATTATTATATGTTAATAATTTACAAGAACAATGTAGTTTATTACGTAAATGACGACTAATAATGCAGCCTGTAGAATTAATTATATTATATAATTATGCAAATATTTAAAAAACAACTTTTAAATTGCATTTTATTTTTAACTTGTAATTCTAATTAAATTATTGTCTAATACGAAATATTCATCTCATATAGAAATTTTATCTATAGGAAATAGTTTAAAAGTATTAACTATGAAGTCATGATTAGATTTTGTAAATACTCAATAATGAGAAGACATTTCGTCATATTCATTCTTTTCAGGATGTAGTTTCGTTGTCTTGCAAGAGCAAATATACATGTGATTTTCTATGTAAAACTGGAATAAAATAAATCTTATTGTAACGTCATCGTTTCTTATGATGGATATTGGTTATTTAAAAAAGTATAAAATACAAATGTCTTTGATCACTCTTAATTCTATTCCGAGAAACAGAAGATAAAGTTTATTAATTATAAAAAAATGTATTAGTTATATAACTACTTTCGAATTTCATTATTTATGTTAAATCAAATAAAAGTTGAAATAATGTATTAGACGAGTTTATATTGATCATAGAGGTCATAAAAGAAAATAGTTAACTCGATAAATTCTACTAATTGTGTAGACTTAATCAGAACCTGAATAATTATTGAAAATACAATTCAGTTAGTTAATTCAATACTCACCCTCATGGTTGCGATCTAAACAGCAAAGTTTAGTATTTTCAGTTAATTTCCATCATTCTAGAACAAGACATATCTTCTCTTGATTTTGGTTAGTTCTTTGGGATGTATGTCGATCTCGACATTACGAATATCTACTTGTATCACTATACTAATTGAACTTATCTCTAGTTGATATAGTATAAACATGATTACTTTTATTTTTTTTTGTCTATCCCTTCAGTCTTTTTTATTGCATTTGCTTTTCAAAACAAAATATTGCAAACATATCCATATATAAATCGCAGTTTTCTTAGTTTTTTCTTAATCGTACGAGCCCTCTCGTTCAACACTAATACAATTCATTTCCATATAAGTTATTCTTCTTTTATTACAGAGAACACTCTCGTAAAGAATTAAAAGTGTAAATATGTATGAGAATATCATTTATACACATACATATATATGTGTATTACCTTATCAGTGCGCTTTATCCATTACGTTTTTATTATTTACTGAGTTGTTCTCAGTAAGCGTGCACGAGTTACTAAAAAATAGAATTTATTCGAAAATAAGTGAACAAAACATTCCTCTATTTATTTATCAAATATTCTTTATAATTCCTTGTTTACAATTTTAATACTGTTTTTCACATCTGCAATATTAGGATGAGTTGGAGGTAATGCACGTTGTCTGATGTTCAGAGCACGTTCTAAATATGACAGTGCTTTCGAATAGTCTTTTACGTTGTAATATACCTTAGCAATGTTGTTGTATATAGTAGCCAAATCAGGATGATTTGAAGGAAGAGTTTTTTGCAGAATTTCAAATGCTTTTTCGTAAAATGTAAGCGCTTTCGAATAGTCTTTCGTATCATAATACACTAAACCGATGTTGCTGTATGAAGTAGCCAAATGAGGATGATTTAAAGGAAGAGTTTTTTGATAGATTTCGAGTGCTTTTTCATGAGATGAATGTGCTTTCGAATACTCTCCCATGTTGTTATACACCAAACCGATGTTATTGTATGTACCAGCCAAATTAGGATGATTTGAAGGAAGAGCTTTTTGCAGAATTTCAAATGTTTTTTCGTGAAATGTAAGTGCTTTCGAGTACTCTTTCATGCTGTTATATACACTACCGATGCTACTGTATGAATTAGCCAATAAAGGATGATTAGAAGGAAGACTGTTTCGATCGATTTCAAGTGCTTTTTCTAAATATGAAAGTGCTTTCGAGTACTTTCCCATCTTTGTATACACCGTACCGATGTTGTTGTATAAAGTAGCCAAGTCAGGCTGATTTGAAGGAAGAGTTTTTTGTACAATTTCAAGTCCTTGTTCATAAAATGTAAGTGCTTTCGAGTATTCTCCCATGTTGTTATACACTAAACCGATATTGTTGTACGAAGTAGCCAGTTTAGGATGATTTGAAGGAAGAGTTTTTTGTTTAATTTCGAGTCCTTGTTGGTGATACCAAATAGCCTTTTCATAATCACCTTGGTCATGTTTGACAGATCCTAACTGATTATAATAATGCTGCTTTTCACCCTCATCAGATGTCCGTTCGAGTAATACGTGATAAAGTTCTTCGGCTTTATCAAATTGACCAATTGTAAGCAATAATTTACCTAATCTCTCCCATCCAATACCATTAGCTTCTTCTCGTATCCGATCAGTAAGTACTCGTAGTTGTTGATCATCATCCGACGTTAATTGAAGTTCAACTTCATAAAGTTCTTTGTTGCTGTCCAGCTGTTTAATTGCACCCACTCGGAAGACGGTATGCATGGAGAAGAGAATTTCTTCTTCTTCGTTATAATAACTCGTGTGCTTGATGGAAGCAAATGGCACTGATTTAACACGAGGATCAATTAACATCTTGAAAAGAATACCTATCATGTCCACATTGTCTAACGCGCTCTGAGCAAATGCTAGGGAGATGCTTTGTTCCGTACTAGTTGATAAAAAGTTATTAAAGGACAGTAAAGCACCGTTCGTTTTTTGCAGTTTTTCGAAATTTGCTTTGAATAGGCCTTGTCCTCGATAAACGATGAATGGTTTGCCGTGATAACTATTAACCTGTTGTTGATGTAGTTGTTGAATTTGTTGGTGAAGATCATGTATGAAAAAGCCCATGTCAATAATAGTATCGCCTTCCATAGAGCGGAGAGCATAATTCAGCATAGAATAAATAAATGAGGGAGAAGTATACCACCAAATAGGTGATCGAGTATGATATTCGTTTTCAAATTGATCAATAGTCTTTGCCGATCCGCAGTCATGTTGTCGGCAGTATGCTATAAACTGTTTGATGGCCTGTTTATCATGTTCCATATCAAGAATGATTTCCTTAAATATTTGAGTATACATAAATGTTGGTTCCAATTGATTTGAATTATCAGTTGAAGTCATTTCATTTATCGTGATAAAACTCATGGCAATCGAATCTTGATTGCATTTCTTGATATCGGTTTTTAATGCTTGGCATAAGTCTTCGGTATTGACATAGATACTCCTGACTTTTTGCCGTGTTGTTGTCCATTCTTCATGTTGGGATTTAATGTCACTAAAGATATAAACACTATGCAATTGAGGGATGTCATTCATGAGCGGCAATATGTGTCGAGCCATAGTGTTTTCAAGAACAAGAAAAGACATGATGTCTTCTTCAGTATCTGTAAGAAAATCGACACATTCGTCTCGCTGCTTAAAGACTTTGATATTATCAGTATTGGTTTTTAATTGTGCCAAAATATTTTCATATTCTTGATTCGCTTCATCCATACATTCATCTAAACAGAGAAGTGAATAATTTCGAACCACTCGTCGCCGTTGTCGTATAGCATTCGATGGTATTATGGTTGCGTTTGATGATAAAGAAGCTCTTGTATTGGATTCTGATGCACTCATCTAGTCCTTTTTATAATTTGATGTTGAATATAAGCTTAGCAGTAATTGTTGTTGCCTAAATAGTAAGAAAAGTCACTACCCCTATTTGTAATAGCAATGGCGTATTTTTTCAATCTTCTTTAGCTTGCTTCAACTAGTTACTTTTTAAAATACTGATGTGAAGAGTAAGAAACTGATCAGTAGAAATAAATTTCTTAACAGCGTTTGCGATAGAACGAAATCACTTCGTTTATTTTTATTCTTTCCAACTTTTTTTGGCCTTATCTATACAATTATTTCAGTAATTCAATATGCCACCCATACTTTATCATTGAAATGAATAGAAATAGAAATACGATTCATTCAGTGAATATTGCTTCCCTCCGTCGTACATCGTTTTGTTAGAACAAAAGGACTGTAGCAGAGAATGAGAAATAGCTATTGATTTAAAAATATTGTAGGAGCTTTGTTGTTTTCTGTTCGAAAAAGAAAAGTATTCCATGCAAACATATTTAAAACAGTTGTATTGTAAACAGTTTTTCAAAAGATTATAAAATTGTTAGACCTAAAGATGTTAAAAAACTTTCTCACAAATGATAATGTGGCATATTATCTATCAAATTTACTACTTCGAGTTTTATAATTTAAGCACTAAATACTATTTTTGTACGAAAAAAAAATCATCACACATTTATAATGGTAAAAATAAACAAATATAAACGTATTATCGTGCATTACTAGTCTTATCGCATGGTTAATAGCAGTCGAAAAATAAGCTTGTCTGCAAGAGATAAGTGATCGAAAGCTTATTGAATAATCTAGCAAACGATGTTATTATTTGAACAAGCGCAAACCTTTTCTGTAAGATATTCTAATGAGAGTTTGTTTTACCATTAGATTGACTAATTTGTAAAATGATTTTTTTTATCAAATCGTGTATTGTTTAATCGTTTATATATCAGTACAACTATCTCAACACAATATGGGTGATCTTGTTGCGATAAACAGTGTATATATATATAGTAATAGAGATCACCATCTTGGGCTTGATATGGGTGTAAACCTCAATTGAATATATGATTTCATCCACATCCCGCACTTACACGCCCACACATCTCTGGTGTGGGCGGATAAAGAAAAGATGAGTCCACACCCACACCCACCCACCCTCAAGTCCATAGTTCAAAGCATGTCTTTATGATGCCTCCTGTAACGAACTAAATCTTCTGTTAAAAATCGAAAAACAAATGATATTAGTTCGATCTTGATATATCTATATCTTTCTTATTTTAGAAGAATGACTAATTCAGATACTTCATACACATGATCTCGATCACGTGATATTCTAATTTCTTTTTTTT